GAAGATTTCTTGCTATTGCCCAATATTGTGCTATTGTACAATACTGTGAAATTGCACAATACTGTGCAATTGAAGATTTCTTGCTATTGCGCAATACTGTGTAATTGAAGATTTCTTGCTATTGCGCAATACTGTGCTATTGTGCAATACTGTGCTATTGCGCAATACTGTGCTATTGCGCAATACTGTGCTATTGCGCAATACTGTGCAATTAAAGATTTCTTGCTATTGCGCAATACTGTGCAATTGAAGATTTCTTGCTATTGCCCAATATTGTGCTATTGTACAATACTGTGAAATTGCGCAATACTGTGCAATTGAAGATTTCTTGCTATTGCGCAATACTGTGCTATTGCGCAATACTGTGCAATTGAAGATTTCTTGCTATTGCGCAATACTGTGTAATTGAAGATTTCTTGCTATTGCACAATACTGTGCTATTGCACAATACTGTGCTATTGCGCAATACTGTGCTATTGCGCAATACTGTGTTGTTGAGCAATACTGTGCTATTGCCCAATACTGTGCAATTAAAGATTTCTTGCTATTGCGCAATACTGTGCAATTGAAGATTTCTTGCTATTGCCCAATATTGTGCTATTGTACAATACTGTGAAATTGCGCAATACTGTGCAATTGAAGATTTCTTGCTATTGCGCAATACTGTGCAATTGAAGATTACAAAAACTTTGAAGAAAAAAAATATGAACCCCAAAATTGGAAAAAAAAAATCGGTAATGTAATCGGTACATTATTATATCTTTCATTACAATATGTCACACATCTACCATTACCAATTTTTGTATTCATTATTGAGGTCAAGATTTGTGTATTGAAGTTAAACAAGAGTGCACAAACTGAAATATCTTGTCATGATTGAATTTATGTTGAAAGACTGTTATATGAAGGTTTTTCTACAAGTATCACATACACTTATTGTTATCAATGATCCACGAAATGAGGTCAAGGTAAGATGAACCATGCCAAACAAACATGTACACCTTACAATCATTTCATACATCAAATATAATGGTCCTATTGCTCATAATACATGAGAAACAGATCAAAACACAAGAACTTATCATTGATCAATGAACCATTAAATGAGGTCAAGGTCATATGAACCCTGCCTGACAGACATGTACACCTTACAATCATACCCTTCACCAAATTTTTTTTACCTATTGCTTACATAAATGTGATGCCCCCGCTTGCATATCATATAGTTATAAAGGGACATAACTGAAGAACGGTAAAAGTGACGCTACCCTAATTTGAACTTGATCTGAGTTTTGTGGTAATACGCATTGTGTGTAAGTCTCATAACATTTGGTTGAGGCTAACTTAAGTAGAGAACAGAAACTAAAAATTCAGCAATTTTTCTATTTGTAAACACGCATAACTCTAGAACGGTTGTGTATAAGTTTTATAACATTTGGTTGAGACAAACTAAAGTTAGAGAACGGAAACTAAAAATTCAGCAATTTTTATGTTTATAAAGGGACATAACTCAAGAATGGTAAAAGTGTTGCCACCAAATTTCGTACTTAATCTGTATTTATAATGTAGTGATAAGCATTGTGTATAAGTTTCATAACATTTGGTTGAGACAAACTAAAGTTAGAAAACGGAAACAAAAATTTTGTACTTGATCTTAGTTTTGTGGTAATGAATATTGTGTATAGGTTTCATAATGTTTGGTTGGGGCAAACTTAAGTTACAGAATGGAAACTAAAAATTTTGCAATCTCTCGATTTATAAAGGGCATAACTCAATAATGGTTAAAGTGACACTATCCAAATTCAACTTGATCTGTGTTTTATCAGTGGAAGTAAAAATTAAAAACATTGCATTGTATAAAGCATTCATTGTAGTTGATTCAACTATAATCATGGACAAAGGAAGATAACTCAAATTTTAACAAGCATTCTGAGAGTATTGCAATACATAGTCCCCTACTGGGTAAAAATTCATTATACTGGAACATAATGCTAACTTGTTCTATAACTTGTCATGGTGTAAACAAAAAGTAAATATGTCAATATCTTCAAGCATGATTAAAACCAGTGTGGAAAACTGATTATATGAGTGAATTTTTCAAGTCCAAGGACCATAACTCTGCACAAAATTATTAGACCAAAACAAAAATTTGAACTTGATCTGTAACTTGTCATGATAAAACTATATACCAATTATCAATCAATATCTTATAAGCATGATGAAAAAAACATTAGATATCATTAATAGTTTTCTAAAAGTAGGTATGAAGTAAAATTACAGTGTATATCCATTTTCAAATTATAATCAAATATAATTAATAGTTCCGAATATTTTTTCTTTCATTTGTCACAAACTAATATAGATTTGTAACTTATCTATAAAATGTCAACAACTTTTATCTACACAATGTAATGTATTGAAATTTATCTTACCTCCTATACATTTCTAGGAATATGATTGGTTAAAAGCATCTGCGTGGAGACCGTGTATATTCCATATTGGGTTAGTAGGGTTCCATATTGGGTTAGTAGGCGGAGCTTATTTCAATACACGGTTAGTAGTGGTGTAATGTCCCTTTATAAAAACAACGGTGTTGAGGGAAAATCTTAAAGGTTTCAACAGACGAAGAAATTGATGATGAACGATTGAAATAAATTCATAAAACACATTTAAAGCTGACAAGTTGTTACTGTTAGCATTTGTTTTTGTATAGACCAATGAAAGAAGGTTCTAAATACTAACGTACGGTATTGAAGACTTGATCACTTTGATAGGCCACTAGTCTAAATACCACATGTTAAGATAGTCTGTAAGATAAATTCGTTACATAGTGTGCTAGTGACCTAATACGATATATATGGGGTCAGTAAATTCCATATGGGGATTCGAGCTTCGCTCTCACCCCATATGGAATTTACTGACCCCATATATATCATATTAGGTCACTTGCACACTATGTAACTAATAATATATGTTGTGTACAAGTTATCATTTTGAACAAATTATAATTTGTACAAAAATTTTTTACAAATTATAATTTGTATTTTGACCTTGTACAAATTATAATTTGTACAAAAAGTGCTTGTACAAATTACAATTTGTACAAAATAAGGCTTAATTTCACTTATAACTTGTACAATAATTTATCATATGGATATTGTGATAAAAAAAAGTGTTGATACCCACTATAAAAACTTTTCAATGCTATTTTTAAAGTTATATTGATTCATTTATATTGCCTTGAAGTTATAAATTGAACTCCTGTTCACTGGTCTTTCACATGGTCATTAACAAAAGTAAAAGTTAAGGTGTTCAAAAAAATGGCTAGTATTGTTGATCAACAGGATAAATTCTATCAAGAAGTTCAGCAATTTGCTGAGAATAACACATCTAAGCACTAGGGACAAATTGAATGAGTTAATTTCTAAAGTTAAAAATGCAAAAGAGGTATAAGATAGGTTTATCTTCATCTTCTTTGCCCAAGGAACTTTTGCCAAATCTTGAAACTGAGGAAGATTTGGAGAAAGTGTTCAAAGAGGTTTCAGAGGAGAACAGTGACATTGAGGTTGATGGCACGGATGAAAACACAGATGCTGAATCGGTAGAATCAGAAGGAGAACCTAACGATTCTGTGACTAATAGTGAAACTGGATCAACTAGTACAACTATTGAAGTTGTATCAGAGGAAGTCGAAACCCCAATCATTCGTGCAATAAAACGTGCATTGTCTGGCAAACAAATCCAAGCAGATGTCCTTACAAGAAATACAAAACAGAAACTGAGTGAGTTATCTGTTGGAGACAATATTATTATCCCAATACCACAGTATGTCCGAGCACCGACCGATCCGAGGAATATACAAGGTGTTGTTGTGGAAGTAGGAAATTTTGGCTATCGTGTAAGGACAATAGCTGGTAATTTATCATGAGTCTTAAGCAGAAACCAACTAGAATCAATTAGTGACTCTTCTTTGTCCGTTACACAAATTCCAGATTTACAACTTTCCCTAAGGGAAGCTGTGAAAATTTTTTCCAAAACTGGTGGACAGGGTTATCTCTCTTGCAAATGTAAAGGCGGTTGTAACAACATATACATTAATAAAAAATAGATTATTATCTAATTAAAGGATTTCTCTTCATAATTTTTTTTATATATATAACATTCAGAAAATTAGTTTATACTAAATAACAAACAAACCTGCCAAAAAATTCTTCAAATAATTTAACAAAGAATGTCTTTTAAAAAATGAGTTCTCTCCCTTTGTACAGAAATATGGTTTAACATAGTCTGTACTCTAACATTAGATATGGTCCAGAGTTATGATCCATAACTCTGGACTAAATCATCAGACCGGAACAAAATTCGAACTTGATCTATAACTTGTCATGATAAAACTACATACCAAATATCAAATCAATATCTTCAAGAACGAAGAAAAAAAGTGTGGAAAGCTGATTTGCCAGACTGACAGATGGACAAACGGACAGACGGACAGATGGACAGACGGACAGAGTGCAAAACTAAAGTCCCCTCCGACTTCGTCGGTAGGGGACTAAAAATTACTTTTTGCAATTTTTCCATTTATAAAGGGGCATAACTCTAGAACGGTTAAAGTGACGCCACCAAAATTCAAACTTGATCTGTGTTTTGTGGTAATAAGCATTGAGTATAAGTTTCATAACATTTAGTTGAGGCAAACTTAAGTTAGAGAACGGAAACTAAAAATTTTGCAATTTTTCCATTTATAAAGGGGCATAACTCTAGAACTGTTTAAGTGACGCCACCAAAATTCAAACTTGATTTGTGCTTTGTGGTAATAAGCATTGTGATTAAGTTTCATAACATTTGGTTGAGGCAAACTCAAGTTAGAGAACGGAAACCAATTTTGGGATGTACAGAACGTACGTTCGTACGTACGTATCTACGTACAGACGGACAAGGGTAGAACTTAATGCCCCCACTGCTACAGAGGGGGCATAAAAAGTGGATCGACCACCATTATAAAACTTGTCCGAGATATTGCTGATATTAACCTATAGTATAAGTTTTATAATAAACTGCTTTGCTGAGAGCAGCTGGATACGCCCGCAGAGGTCCAACCCTGAACAGTTGGGGCAAAAATGGACACAATATTCAAGCTTGATACAGGTCTGAATTTGGATTGTATTAAATATTTGACATATTATAGGTTTCTGAATAAATGTAGTTAAAGAACTTGAAATTGGTTATATGAATTGAATTTATATTCAATTAAAGATTTCTTGCTGTTGTGCAATACACTGTGCTGTTGCGCAATACTTAGTAAATCTGTTGTCAGACAATTAAAGTTCAATTAATTCTCAATGTCATATTAGAAAATTATGAAAATGTAAAGGGAGCTTACATCAATAGATATAAACAATTCACCAAAGTTTCATGAGAATTGCTGACAGCATTTTTGAGTTATTGTCCGAAAAACTGGAAAATCTGCCCTTTTTTTTATGAATAAAACCCCATAACTCAGAAATGTAAAATGTAAAATGTAAAATTTATCAAATTCTAAACGGAGCTTACATCAATAGATATAAACAGTTCACCAAAATTTCATAAGAACTGCTGAAAGCATTTTTGATTTTTTGTCCGTAAACTGGAAAATCCCCCTTTTTTTTATGAATAAAACCCTGTAACTCGGAAACGTAAAATCTAAAATATATAAAAATCAAAAGGGAGCTCATGTCAACAGATATAAACAATTCACCACAATTTCTTGCAAATTGGTGAAAGCATTCTTGAGTTATTGTCCTAAAACTGGAAAAACCCCCCTTTTTTAATGAATAAAACCCTGTAACTCTGAAACGTAAAAATCTAAAATTTATAAAAAATGAAATGGAGCTAACGTCAATAGATATAAACAATTCACCAAAGTTTTATGCAAATTGGTTAAAGCGTTTTTGAGTGAATGTCCGACATGTTGACGATGGACGGAAAGACGGATGGACGGACAGTCGGACAACAGTATACCATAATACATCCTGTAAACGGGTGTATAAAAATCTGGCAAGAATTGTACCTGTGAGAGCGCTAACAAGACTGGATGGACACACGGACGGTATTTCCATGTCCCCCGCAATGTGTTATTCGGGGAACAACAAAATGAATAAAATACTCAAATGTTAATATATTGAAATATGAGAGTGCACACGCTGAAATGTCTCGCCTACTATACTGACCATTGATTTTATGTTGATAGTCCTACATATAAAGTTTTACTACCAGTATCACATTAACATTTATGATCCAAGAAAATGAGGTCAAGGTCAGATAAACCAAGCTGGAAATACATGTACACCTTTAATACAATCCCTCCACTCACAGAATATATATGACCTATTGCTTATAGTATAAAAACTAGAGGCTCCAAGGAGCCTGTGTAGCTCACCTGATATTTTTATTTACAATTGATGCATGAAATAATGCATATATTATGCGTTATACATTTGCTTTAGTTTCAGAGATATAAGTCAATAAAATGCTCCACAGCTTGATGCGACTGCAGAAGTCGAACCCTGAACAGTTGGGGCAAGTATGGACACAACATTCAAGCTTGATACAACTCTGAATTTGGATTGTGATTAAATATTTGACACAGCATAGGTTTCTGACACAGAATGAATGTGGTCTAAGAGCTTAAAAAAATTTAATTTACCTATTCAAACCATATCATTATTACTTGCTTTTATATATAAATCAGAAATAACCAACTTAAAATGGAAAATTTTAAAGAAAAAAAAAGAAAAAAAAGGAAACCCCCCCCCAATTTTTTGAACCCCCTTATGATTCATCACCCCCAAACTCAATCCCAGCCTACCCTTTGTGGTATGGTACCTTGCAGTACAATTTCAGAGAGATCCATACACTTGAACACAAGTTATTGTCTGGAAACTAGAAAAATGCTTGTTTTTTGGCCCCAAATTCCTAAACATTTAGGGCTATTACCCCCAAACTCAAACCCAGCTTTCCTTTTGTGATATGGAACCTTGTAGTACAATTTCATAACGATCCATACACTTACACACAAGTTATTGTCCTGAAACTAGAAAAATGCTTGTTTTTTGCCCCTTTTTGGCCCCTAATTCCTAAAATTTCGAGGCAATTATCCCCAAAATCAATCCCAGCATTTCCTTTGTGATATGAAACCTTGTGGTACAATGTCAGAGAGATCCATACACTTACGCACAATTTATTGTCATGAAACTAGAAAAATGCTCGTTTTTGGCCCCTAATTCCTAAAATTTGGAAGCAATTACCCCCAAAATTAACCCCAGCATTCCCTTTGTGATATGGAACTTTGTGGTACAATGTCAGAGAGATCCATACACTAACAAACAAGTAATATCTGGAAGTTACAAAAATGCTTATTTTTGGCCCCTTTATGGCCCCTAATTCCTAAAATTTTGAGGCAATTACCCCCAAAATCAATCCCAGCCTTCCCTTTGTGGTATGGTACCTTGCAGTACAATTTCAGAGAGATCCATACACTTGAACACAAGTTATTGTCTGGAAACTAGAAAAATGCATATTTTTGGCCCCTTTTTGGCCCTTATTCCTAAACGTTTTGGGCAATTACCCCCAAACTCATTTCCAGCTTTCCCTTTGAGATATGGAACCTTGTAGTACAATTTCATAAATATCCATACACTTGAACACAAGTTATTGTCTGGAAACTAGAAAAATGCTTGTTTTTTTGCCCCTTTTCGGCCCTTAATTCCTAAAATTTGGAGGCAATTACTCCCAAAATCAATCCCAGCATTTCCATTGTGATATGGAACCTTGTGGTACAATGTCAGAGAGATCCATACACTTACACACAAGTTATTGTCATGAAACTAGAAAAATGCTCGTTTTTTGCCCCTTTTTGGCCCCTAATTCCTAAAATTTGGAAGCAATTACCCCCAAATTCATCCTAGCATTCCCTTTGTGATATGGAACCTTGTGGTACAATGTCAGAGAGATCCATACACTAACAAACAAGTTATGTCTGGAAGATACAAAAATGCTTATCTTTGGCCCAATTTTGGCCCCTAATTCCTTAACTGTTGGTACCATAACCCCCAAAATCAATCCCCACCTTCTTTTTGTGGTATTGAACCTTATGGTAAAATTTCATAGAGATCCATTCACTTAAACTAAAGTTAGAGTGCGAAAACCAATGAGTCTTCGGACGACGACAACGACGCCAACGTCATACCAATATACGTCCGCAAAGGTCGTATAAAAATTGTTACCATCTTGTGAAGTTTTTGCTGAAAAAAAACGATAAGTTCCCAAACCTGGGAAATGAGTAAAATTTATCTAACAATTCCACAAAAGCAGATGCACAACTTGCAAACATTCTGTGAAGTTTCAAATGTCTGGTTTGAAGCCTGTATGAGGAGTTGATTACACAAAATTGGTACCATCTTTTGTAACTTTTAATGAAACAAGAGTGCACACGCTGAAATGTCTCGCTTTCTTTACTAACCATTGATTTAATGTTGATAGTCCTAAATACAAAGCTTTACTACAAGTAACACATAAACTTAACATGATCTAAGAAAATGAGGTCAAGGTCAGACAAACCAAACGAGAAATACATGTACACCTTACAATCATTCAATAAACCAAACATAGTTGACCTATTGCTTATTGTTTCTAAGAAACAGTCTTAAACAAGAAAACTTAACATTGACCAATGAACCATGAAAATAAGGTCAAGGTCAAATGAACCATGCCATCCAGACATGTACACCTTACAATCAATTTTGGCATAAAATATAGTTGACCTATTGCTTATAGTATCTAAAAAACACAAGAGTGCACACGCTGAAATGTCTCGCCTTCTTTACTAATCATTGATATTATGTTGATAGTCCTAAATATAAAGCTTTATTACAACTGTCACATAAATTTATCATTAACCAAGAAAACTAAACATTGACCAATGAACCATGAAAATGAGGTCAAGGTCAGATGAACCATGCCAGGCAGGCATGTACAGCTAACAATTCTTCCATACAACAAATATAGTTGACATATTGCATAAAGTTTAAGAAAAACAGACCAAAACACAAAAACTTAACACTGAGCAATGAACTGTGAAAATGAGGTCTAGGTCAAATAAAACCTGCGCGACTGACATAAAGATCATAAAATATCTCCATACACCAAATATAGTTGACCTATTGCATATAGTATTAGAAAAAAAGACCAAAACTCAAAATCTTAACTTTGACCACTGAACCATGAAAATGAGGTCAAGGTCAAATGACACCTGCCAGCTAGACATGTACACCTTACAATCATTCCATATACCAAATATAGTAGACCTATTGCATACAGTATAAGAAAAACAGACCAAAACACAAAAACTTAACTATAACCACTGAACCATGAAAATGAGGTCAAGGTCAGATGACACCTGCCAGTTGGACATGTACACCTTACAGTCCTTCCATACACCGAATATACTTGACCTATTGCTTATAGTATCTCAGATATGGACTTGACCACCAAAACTTAACCTTGTTCACTGATCCATGAAATGAGGTAGAGGTCAAGTGAAAACTGTCTGACAGGCATGAGGACCTTGCAAGGTACGCACATACCAAATATAGTTATCCTACTACTTATAATAAAAGAGAATTTAACATTACAAAAAATGTTAACTTTTTTTTCAAGTAGTCACTGAACCATGAAAATGAGGTCAAGGACATTGGACATGTGACTGACGGAAACTTCATAACATGAGGCATCCATATACAAAGTATGAAGCATCCAGGTCTTCCACCTTCTAAAATATAAAGCTTTTAAGAAGTAAGCTAACACCGCCGCCGCCGCCGCCGGCGGACTATCCCTATGTCGAGCTTTCTGCGACAAAAGTCGCAGGCTCGACAAAACTTAACCATGAAAACTTAACATTGACCAATGAACCATGAAAATGAGGTCAAGGTCAGCTGATACCTGCCAGACAGACATATACACCTTACAATCCTTCCATACATCAAATATAGTTGATCTATAGCTTATAGTTGAAGAAAAACAGACCAAAACACAAAAACCTAACACTTAGAAATGAACAGTGAAAATGAGGTCAAGGTCAAATAAAACCTGTGAGACTGACATGTACATCATAAAATATTTCCATACACCATTTATAGTTGACCTATTGCATATAGTATTAGAAAAAAAGACCAAAACTCAAAAACTATACTTTGACCACTGAACCATGCAAATGAGGTCAAGGTCAGATGACACTTACCAGTTGGACATGTACACCTTACAATCATTACATATACCAAATATAGTAGACCTACTGATTATAGTATCTGATATATGGACTAGACCACGAAAACTTAACCTTGTTCACTGATCCATGAAATGAAGTCGAGGTCCAATGAAAATTGTCTGGCGGGCATGAAGACCTTGCAAGGTATGCACATACTAAATATAGTTATCCTATTACTCATAATAAGAAAGAAATTAACATTACAAAAAATGTTGTTTTTTTTTTCAAGTAGTCACTGAACCATGAAAATGAGGTCAAGGACAATGGACATATGACAGACGGAAACTTCGTAACATAAGGCATCTATATACAAAGTATGAAGCATCCAGGTCTTCTAGCTTCTAAAATATAAAGCTTTTAAGAAGTTAGCTAACGCCGCCGCCGGATCACTATCCCTTTGTCGAGCTTTCTGCAACAAAAGTTGCAGGCTCGACAAAAATGACTTAGTTCCCAAACTCAGAAATGACCCCAATCGCAAAAAAAGCTTGAAGCCATTTTTAGAAGTGGAATTTTTCAAAGTCCAAAGCCCGTAATTTCGTAAAAAATCACCCAGCGGAACCAAACATATACTCAATCTGTAATTAATCCATCATAGTAGACTCACATACTAAAACTCAGCTCAATATGCGAAGGCATTTAGAAAAAAATTCTGTATAACTGTTCTTTGCAGAATGACGGAATGACAGATAAGGGTAAAACTTTATGTGCCTGACCAAAGTCGGCAGGGGCAATATAAATTCCTCAAACAATTCAGTAATAGCAGGTGCACAACTTTAACATGTGTGCAATCTTTCTATAAAGTGTCAGAGATCAATGTTGAAAACTGTATTAGGAGTTGAGAACACAAAACTAATGAATGCCATCTTTATTAAATTTTGCATAAAAATTTCTAATTCCAAAGTCTGGAAAAATGGGGAAAAAATTTCTTGAACAATTTCTTAATATCAGGTGCACAAATTCAACACGTGTGCAATCTTTCTGTGATGTTTCAGGGATCATTACACAAATTAGATAGACTTTTCCCTGCCCGGCCAACCAACATCACTAAATACTTATAAGCTGGTTTTGAACTTTGGTCATTATTTTACTTTGATTTCATTTTATAAAAGCAAATGCTTTGTAATTTACCATTAAAGGCTGTCCAATAGGTTGTTGGTACATCATATTTTGTGAAACAGAACTTCCAGTCATCTGAAAAAAATACAAAGATATAGATATAGCTTTAGCTATCTGTTTAAAATTGTCAATATAAATAAGACCAATACCAGATCTGGACCTGCATCGCTGCATGCAATTGATGGAGGTAACATGTACTGGATTATAGTTGTGACAAAAATTTTCCTTGTACAATGAGTGTTGTTAAATTTCAAACTATAGCTATAGGTAAACAGGAAATGGCTGCATGGCAGATGAAAAATTTACTTACTCATTACAACTCAACATTATCGAGATGCAGACCAAATATAAAATCATTCCCTTAAATAGAAGCCAAGAAATTTTCCTTGTACAATGAGTGTTGTAAAATTTGAAAATATCGGCAAACAGGAAGTGGCTGCAAGGAGGATGCAAAAATTGCTACTTGCTACAACTCCACATTATTAACTTGGGTTCATCCGTTATTCAAACACCCCATCCCATTAGTCAGACATACCAATAGTTCGACAAAGGTTGTAATTGAAAATATACTTCAACGAATTAGTGGTTCTGGTATTTGAACTAGTGACTATATAGGCTAAAATAAAAAATATTAATATCAAAATTGTACTATTGTTAGTATTTGTTTCTTAAATGAATACTTTATTAAAGTAGAAACTCAATTAAAACAGATGATGTGTGCCATCAGAATGGACTTAATTGCATATTAATTTAATATTTACCACTGGATGCAATGCAAACAACAAGAAATGAGCTGTCAAAGCAACCCAGGTTTTCTGTATTTTTAAGGTCACCATTGTTGACCATAAAAGGGTCCCCAGTACAAATGAAATTGATGTATTCTAATGTGTGGCACTTTCAAGCTTGTTTGACCTGCTAAGTGCTTTGCCTTTTTTCTAATCAAGGCCCTCATGAAATACATTGAGATATTACAAACAAAGAATTACAAAATAATCAAATGTTGTCTCATTGGCAATCATACCACACCTTCTTTTTATATACACACATTAACTAGTGTGTAGGGAATTAATACATCACAAACTTTCCTTCATTCATTTTAATATTTAATTTTCATGATTAATTATAATAAAATGCTCCGCTGGGCGCAGCTTGATACGACAGCAGAGGTCGAACCCTGAACAGTTGGGGCAAGTATGGACACAACATTCAAGCTTGATACAGCACTGAATTTGGATTGTGATTAAATATTTGACACATCATAGGTTTCTGACACAGAATGAATGTGGTCTAAGAACTTAAAAAATTTTAATTTACCTATTCAAACCATATCATTATTATTTGCTTTTATATATAAATCGGAAATAACCAATTTAAAATGGAAAATTTTAAAGAAAAAAAAAGGAAAATAAGGAAAAAAAAAACCATCCATCAAATTTTTTGAACCCCCTTATGATTCATCACCCCCAAACTCAATCCCAGCCTTCCCTTTGTGGTATGGTACCTTGCAGTACAATTTCAGAGAGATCAATACACTTAAACACAAGTTATTGTCTGGAAACTAGAAAAATGCTTGTTTTTAGGCCTCTTTTTGGCCCCAAATTCCTAAACATTTTTGAGTTTGGGGGTAATTGCATTTAGGGCAATTACCCCCAAACTCAAACCCAGCTTTCCCTTTATGATATGGAACCTTGTAGTACAATTTCATAAAGATCCATACAATTACACACAAGTTATTGTCCTGAAACTAGAATAAAATGCTCCGCTGGGCGCAGCTTGATACGACCGCAGAGGTCGAACCCTGAACAGTTGGGGCAAGTATGGACACAACATTCAAGCTTGATACAGCACTAAATTTGGATTGTGATTAAATATTTGACACAGCATAGGTTTCTGACACAGAATGAATGTGGTCTAAGAACTTAAAAAATTTTAATTTACCTATTCAAACCATATCATTATTATTTGCCTTTATATATAAATCAGAAATAACCAATTTAAAATGGAAAATCCCAGCCTTCCCTTTGTGGTATGGTACCTTGCAGTACAATTTCAGAGAGATCCATACACTTAAACACAAGTCATTGTCTGGAAACTAGAAAAATTCATGTTTTTTGGCCCTTTTTTGGCCCCAAATTCCTAAACGTTTAGGGCAATTACCCCCAAACTCAAACCCAGCTTTCCCTTATTGATATGGAACCTTGTAGTACAATTTCATAAAGATCAATATACTTACACACAAGTTATTGTCCTGAAACTAGAAAAATGCTTGTTTTTTTGCCCTTTTTGGCCCCTAATTCCTAAAATTTTGAGGCAATTACCCCCAAAATCAATCCCAGCCTTCTCTTTGTGGTATGGTACCTTGCAGTACAATTTCAGAGAGATCCATACACTTGAACACAACTTATTGTCTGGAAACTAGAAAAATGCTTATTTTTGGCCCCTTTTTGGCCCCTTATTCCTAAACATTTTAGGCAATTATCCCCAAACTCAATTCCAGCTTTCCCCTTGTGATATGGAACCTTGTTGTACAATTTCATAAAGATCCATACACTTACACACAAGTTATTGTCATGAAACTAGAAAAATGTTTGTTTTCTGCCCCTTTTTTGGCCCCTTATTCCTAAAATTTTGAAGCAATTACCCCCAAACTCAATTCCAGCATTCCCTTTGTGTTATGGAACCTTGTGGTACAATGTCAGAGAGATCCATACACTTACACACAAGTTATTGTCATGAAACTAGAAAAATGCTTATTTTTTGCCCCTTTTTGGCCCCTAATTCCTAAAATTTGGAGGCAATTACCCCCAAAATCAATCCCAGCATTCCCTTTGTGATATGGAACCTTGTGGTACAATGTCAGAGAGATCCATACACTTACACACAAGTTATGTCTGGAAGTTACAAAAATGCTTATTTTTGGCCCCTTTTTGGCCCCTAATTCCTTAACTGTTAGTACCATAACCCCCAAAATCAATCCCCACCTTCCTATTGTGGTATTGAACCTTATGGTAAAATTTCATTGAGATCCATTCACTTAAAATAAAGTAAGAGTGCGAAAACTGATGTGTCATCAGACTACGACAACGCCAACGTCATACCAATATACGACCACAAAATTTTTTTTACGGTCGTATAAAAATAAAGAGATGTGGTATGATTGCCAATGAGAAAACTATCCACCAAAGTTCAAATGAAGTGGATGTAAGCAATTATAAGCTACCGTTCGGCCTTCAACAATGAGAAAACCCACGCCGTATATATTGGTTCTCAGAGGATTTTAAAATCCCTTCCTACCCACCCACATCCATTTTGAAGGACAAGCCTTTAGTTTTTGAATAATGTATTGTGGAGGAAGAAATTTAGACGTCCCTTACCGGTATATATTCATTCACAACTGATTTTATATTGTCCATAAATTTGCACTATTGTTGAATACTGTATGTTGACCTATACTGCTATAGATGTATTTTTGGTTTTAGAAAAATAATAATGATAATAATTTATTTTTATTTTATGTAATTATTGTGTCAACAATTGATTGCCGTACATTTATTCATAAACTTTAAATTAAAAACAAATAGCCATTTGGCTCTTGAGACACATGGCAAAAAATAAATACATGTTCTAAATAAAATGCTTCGCTGGGCGCAGCTTGATACGACCGCAGAGGTCGAACCCTGAACAGTTGGGGCAAGTATGGACACAACATTTAAGCTTGATACAGCTCTGAATTTGGATTGTGATTAAATATTTGACACAGCATAGGTTTCTGACACAGAAAGAATGTGGTCTAAGAACTTCAATTTTTTTAATTTACCTATTATGGTCCAATGTCCAAAATCAAAATACATGGTTAGATTCAGCATATCAAAGAACCCCATATATTCAATTTTTGTTGAAATAAAACAAAGTTTAATTTTGGACCCCAACTTGGACAAACTTGAAAACTGGTCCCATAATCAAAAATCTAAACACATGTTTAGATTCAGCATATCAAAGTACCCCAAGAATTCAATTTTTGTTAAAATCAAACTAAGTTTAATTTTGGACCCTTTGGACCTTAATGTAGACCAATTTAAAAAACAGGACCCAAAATTAAAAATCTAAAAACACGGTTAGATTTGGCATATCAAAGAATCCCAATAATTCAATTTTTGATGAAATCAAACAAAGTTTAATTTTGGACCCTTTTGACCTCAATATGAACCTATTTGATAGCGGGCCCACAAAATAAAAAATCTAAATAATGGTAAGATTCAGCATATCAAAGAACCCCATATATTCAATTTTTGTTGAAATCAGACAAAGTTTAATTTTGGACCCCAATTTGGACCAACTTGAAAACTGGGCCAAAAATCTAAAATCTAAATACATGTTTAGATTCAGCATATCAAAGAACCCCATATATTCAATTTTTGTTGAAATCAAACAAAGTTTAATTTTGGACCCCAACTTGGACAAACTTGAAAACTGGGCCCATAATCAAAAATCTAAACACATGTTTAGATTCAGCATATCAAAGAACCCCAAGAATTCAATTTTTGTTAAAATCAAACTAAGTTTAATTTTGGACCCTTTGGACCTTAATGTAGACCAATTTAAAAAACGGGACCCAAAATTAAAAATCTAAATACACGGTTAGATTTGGCATATCAAAGAACCCCAATAATTCAATTTTTGATGAAATCAAACAAAGTTTAATTTTGGACCCCAATTTGGACCAACTTGAAAACTGGGCCAAAAATCTAAAATCTAAATACATGTTTAGATTCAGCATATCAAAGAACCCCATATATTCAATTTTTGTTGAAATCAAACAAAGTTTAATTTTGGACCCCAACTTGGACCAACTTGAAAACTGGGCCCATAATCAAAAATCTAAACACATGTTTAGATTCAGCATATCAAAGAACCCCAAGAATTCAATTTTTGTTAAAATCAAACTAAGTTTAATTTTGGACCCTTTGGACCTTAATGTAGACAAATTTAAAAACGGGACCCAAAATTAAAAATCTAAATACACGGAAAGATTTGGCATATCAAAGAACCCCAATAATTCAATTTTTGATGAAATC